TGTAGTCCTTGGTCCATGGGCCACATTGAATAAATTAAAAGTTCAGGGACCACATTGAACTTAGGCTAAAGTTCAAGAACTACATTGAACAAATTAAAATTTCAAGGACCACATTACACATTGGATCAAAATTTCGGAACTGTTTACATCATTATTCTTTTTTTTTTTAACTGGAATGCATTATTTGGGCCATGGCCCATCAAAAGTGATATTTGGGTAAATTGGATACTTGGATTGAAGCAGCAATCGAGCCTGTTATTCCTAATCTTGTCCAGTAGGGAAGGAAAAAAAAAAGTCTATACGTAATTCCTACTTCATTCAACCTCTTCAAACCAAGGAAAAAAAAACAAAATCCCATCCCCTCATAATATTTTTGTGAAATTCATTCATTTTGAAGATTTAGACAATATACGAATTTCTCGATACAATTTATATAGATTTCCAATAAGCCAATTCCAATTTTCAAGGATTAAGCACGTCCGATTTCTAAACGAGTATAGAGATCTTATTAATAGAAGTAACATGATGTTTTGTGATTTAGACAATATACGAGTTTCTTGTTATAATCTATGAATTTTGCCGTCCCCCAAAATTATTTATTATCTATTCCTACCTCTCTCAAGAAAAATCCGCAACATACAAATATGGAAATTAACAAGAACACGCCGAGTTTCTATGAGCCCAATGCATCAAAACCCTTAAAATTTCAGGGACGACTGATTTGTAATTTTTCTAATCGAACCCGAGATGGGTAAGCATGTCGAGTCGCGTCATCTCTTCGAACCAGAAACTCCTATTTTGCGAAACAAGGCATGGGAGAGGTGTAATTTCAAAATAGGAAACTTCTTTTTCTAAACCTACTTCATATATAGAAACCCAACATTACAAGTCAAAATACAAAACGCGACCACAATCTTACATCTTATTTTAAACAAAAACAACCCCCCAAAAACATGAAACGACGGCCCGTATTGACGTACGAACGTGGGAGCCAAGTCACGTATTCGCTCGTTTTCGTCCCTATAAACTCCTCCTCCGTCTCCAAAAGCCCGCAACATCACCCGGCACAGCACATTAAGAAACTACAGTCCACCAAATCGCAGTTTTCATGGCTGGCCTTCAGTACTACTTCTTCCCCACCGATTTCTACTACCCTCGTCCGAAGCCCGTCACCGGGACCAACGCTGCAGACGGCAACGTCAACGTCAATGTCGATCCTCGCGCGTTCCCTAGCTCTCAACCCGAGGATGGTCGCGACAACAATCCCGAGAAGACGGAGGCAGTGGCCGCCACTGTCAATTCGGACGTGAAGGGCAACAGCAAGAAGCCTAGAGGAAGTCTTCCCTGTAAGACCCTGGTGCTTTCCCCGCACGAGATTGGCGAGGAGCGTCGTCGCCTCGAGGCGGTCATCGCGGATTCTAGGAACAAGTCGGATCGTAATTTGTGAAGATCTCGTGCAATCTTGATGGACGAGAGACCTCCTGGGAGATTTCAATTCTTTCCCTCCTAGGGTTCTTTTAGAGTCATCGTATATGTGATCGGAAATATTTCTCTCTGTGTTTTGTTCTTACAATTCGAATCTTCCTTCTTTCTGTTATGCCAACATGGGTTTCTAACCATAAGAGCAGGGATGTGGATGCATCAACTTCATGCTCTAGTTAACACAAGTTTGTCATATAATAACTGTGACTAGTGTTTATTGAGAAATACGCTGTCTATACGTATACAGTTTGTTGCCTCGTTTACTAAAAACGACTTGTTAAAGGCGATATCCAAGCCCAAGTCACGAGTTTAAATCAACGCATTCTTTCTTATGTTTATTTTATGTGTTAAGTCTCGTTATATCCTACTTAACTTTTCCGTTTTTTGATCATATGTTTGACGCGGTTACATTGTATATTTCATGTGTAAGGTCCAACTTCTATGAGAGGAGGATGCGTGTGTGGTGTGACATATATGTCACTACGATAGCCTTTCAAGATCGCATACCGCCTCTCTGTAAATGTTTACTATGATTATACAAGATGCAGCTAGAGTTACAACGAAACTACCAATCAGGGCCTGGCCCAAAAAATAGAAACGATAGAAACCTTATTCAAAGTATACGACTCTTGAAACGTGAAAGTTCAGCATGCCAATTCCAAAATTAGTTTCGACATGATCACAAAGTTCTCTATTTACTTAACAAGTCCTTTTTTTTATTTTCCTAAATCGTCGGACGACTGAACATATACTTGCCTAGAAAAGTTTCCCTAGCGACACCTCGGACGGGCTTTCCAAGCGCGCTTCATCCACACAATTCCTACTACGACGGAGCTCGCATGATCAATGGTTCCGAAGTACTTCATCTTTATAGTCTAGTACGATATTTTTGTGATAGTCATGGGCTTTTCGGGCAAGCAGTTTATTACCAAACCAGCAACCACCATACGAAGACGGCACACAGTACGAAGTTGAACGCGCTTCAATGTCTTGAACCTCGCGTCCCAGCGACCCTTCTTCTTCTGCTTCTCTCTCTCTCTCTCTCTCTGCCTCGCTCTCTGTCTACAAATAACCTGTCCTTCACGTGCCCACCTGCATCAACAAACCCACCTGACTGACGACACTCCTCTGTCCTCTTTATCACAGAAGAATCTCCTCGTCCTCCTCCTTGCTGACGCTTCTTGTTCTTGCTCCTTGCTCCGCCCTCCTTTCAATCAATGGCGGGCCTCCAGTACAGCTTCTTCCCCACCGACTTCTTCTACCCGCGCCCCACCAAAGCCGCGGCCAACAACTTGGTCTCCCTCCGGACGCCGAAAAGGGACGCGGAGGAGGAAGATCTCGAGCGGCAACCCAAGAGCTTGGCCCTCCGCAGTGCCCCCGGTTCAGCTTCCACTTCGATCGTCTCGAGCAACAAGATGGAGAGGAAGCATGCCCAGAGTCAAAGCGACGATCTTGCTTAGCGCTCGACGTTTATTTGTTTCATTATGAAGATCGGCGGAAGATTTCCTGTTTTTGCTGAATTATGTATATCATCGGGTGTTTGATATGTAAAGCAGAGCATTGCGCGACTCTGTTTCCGTAAAATATCCTAAATAATGTATAGAGTTGGATTTCCGTTCTTCAATTTCGAAACTTTTTAGCGATGGTTGCAAGACTTCTGCTTTGTTGGGTGACCTTAAGAGAATAATCATCAGAAAGATGTTCCTCCAGCTAGCTTGGCGTGGAGTCAGTTGATATGCTCTGTTTTTCTGCATCTCGTAATTTTCTTTCTTCAGTGACTTGTTTATATTGAAATGGAAGAACGCAATGGTTGATCTTTTCGTTGTTCTAAAAGGCACGAATGCTGAACTCTAATGTGGAAGGAGAAAATCGTTAGTGTTAACGAATTATAAGAACATGACCTTATTTCTGAGGAAGCACGACACAAGAGCATGGCTGAAAGTACGCATGCATTTGAATTCGTCTCTGATAAGTAGTTCCTCTTCTTAAGCGATTCCATTTTCTCTCTGTTTTTTTATTTCCTATTGGGTCAAAAGCTGAATTCGACAAGGCAAAAAGGACGGGCCAAAGCAAAGTCCAACCTTGGGGGTATATTCCTGTTTGAATGCGTGCAGGCAAAGAAGGGCGGCTTGGGGAGGAAGCATAGACAGCGGACCCATCGAGAAGGAATACTGATTTGTTAAGGAATATGCGGTTTGAATTTCAGGCAAAGCTGCTCTCACCTGCCTTAATAAATGCTAAAACGCTCTCCTAATAAACGTCATTCACGTGTTAAAGGTTGGAACTTTTTGGTGGATCACAAGAGTCCAACTTTTTCCCAAAAGTCTGCGGTCTCACCGCGTGGGCTACGACTGGCGGATCCAACAAGGTTTGGCAACTTATCGGAGTACCGCTCCAGCTTGAAAGCAACATTTGCAAGCTTCCTGACTTTCCCAATTTATGTTGCAATGGACTGCTCTCGTGTTTCCGTGGATTCTCGAGAGTTTTCAGTGCCCGTCGTTCGTTCTTTCGCGCGACGCAGTCTATCAAACTATATCGACAGTCTCTCATCAGAGTACTAGACGGGCACTTCGTTCTAAACTTTGTATAGAATCTTTTCTAACCCCCGAGATTCGAGATTCGAGATTCGAATGGGTATGAGAGAGTATGTGATGTAGTACGTAAGGACACGCCCCGAAAGTTCTTGCTCGATCCGACACTTTCTTTTCAGAGACATGACCCTCGTGAATTAGCTCTTTTCCCCACAAAGTTGCTTGGCGGAGAGATGGCTGCACATTTAATTTCAAGCTGTGTCTATGCTGATGTTTTGTGGTAGTTGGCACTTAATTGCTTGACTGATTAAATTTTTATAACTTTGCCAGGAAGGGACAGGCTTGGTCGTTAGGTCCAACGGTTTTTCTTTTCGTTTTCTTTGTTTAGGCCTAGGAAACGCAGGCTCGCACCAACCACCAGACCTGTGTATGGAAAGTGGTCCGTGTCCTATCTCAAGCTTGCCCGTTGAGTAGGTCCATTGATTACTCAGTTTTCCTAAATTTGCAGCCGGTGACGAGATTAGAGCTCGTCCAGGAGGCGTTGCCTACAGCTTCGCGCGCAGGGATCACTCGCAACCCCAGACCCCGGTACATGGCATCTAAAGCAACAGAAAACGAGCATGGACTGTTGATACTACTCTTCCATGCCATCTCTAGTGGAAGCTGAATGATCTCAAGTGAAACGGATGGAAATATCAGTAACCTCCAGAAAGAATTGAGGTTGGGCCAAGAAGCCCACCAGGTCCTCCTTTTATCCATGTTTCTCGTCTCGAAGAGAAAGTATTTTATGTGCTCATTACACGGCTCGAGTGGTATGAACGGCCTATCACATTATCTGCATCACTGTGCATTTCAGTCGATTTCACGTCATCCATTTTTCAAAAACCTGTTACTTTCGATGGGCTTGTTTTTCCAGAGGTCACCGTCACGCGGTTTAATTGATATACGAAATACACTCTCCATCATGATATGCATATCAGCAAAAAATACTTATAATAGGCCGGTAATTAATTCATTTCCGAGCTTTCTCCGCATCTTGGTACATCAAGGATGGTTGAATGACCACTCTGATATATTAAAAGTAGTTAAAATGAATTACGTAGAATCAACCGGGAGAGTGACATAAAAGCAGAGGTTATACAGCATACAGCTCCTCCACAATAGTTTTAGCAGCAGCTTCCAAGAGAACTGTTCCAAACAGTATAGAACCTACAACACTTCGGGACACGGTTACAGTGCAATTGCTGCGGCGTCAAATGGGCTCGTACGATTGTCGTAGAGAGATTGAAAGGGGAAAAGGAAGAGAAGATCAGGGGCATTTGGGGCCACCGCGCTTGGTCTTCCAGTTGTTGTAGCAAGGGCAGAGTTGCTTGTTTCCGTAGGTACCTGGAGGCACACACAGGCATTGGGCGCAGCACTTTTGGCAAAAGAACATGCATGGCTTCTTGTACGCCGTCTTCGAGCATCTCTTCGTGCACCTCGGTCCGCACTCTTTTTAAAGATAATCAGTTGATTATTAGTAATAAGAACATTTGTAAAACTCGATATGTAATTCATCTTTCGAATTCTTGCTTCTAATAAATAGTGTCTCATCATTAGCTGTACGTTCAGTTCCATTTCACGGCGAGATTGTGTGTAATCTCTTACCTTGGGGCTTAAGACTGCCTTCCCTGGCACCATACTGAAAGAAGAAGAAGAAGATCAAGAGAGGAGAATATATATCAGAATTCAATATTCAAGATAGAAAAAGAAAAGGCAATCATATAACAACAATTATCGCACCGGGGGCAGATGGCCCGGAGTGGCCTCGGGTTGTGGCGACGGAGCCTCCGTAATCGTCGCCTGGAAACAGAGAAACTGTATAATTGAGTCGATTCTAAAGAAATGTAATGGGGTTCATTTTCTTCTTTTCCTCAAACCTCACCATATAGCAAGGAGTGATGCTATTTTCAGAAATAATCGAAATACATTTGATACATGGTCGATCCTACACGTTACATTCAACTCCACAGTTCATCAACATGCTATGCATTGTGCATCAAGCTGGCCATCTAATAAATCTGCGACTTGTAAAAATTCTTTGACCGGTAACCGCTATAACTAGCCTTTAAGTGTGTGTTCGACTATATGTGTATATGTCTTGAGTGAATACGTGCTTCATGATCACCGGAAAAAAAAAATGAAGTGCTGAGAATGCGAACATGGATGTGCATGCATGAATGAGTGACACCGGAAATGTGTGAGGGATGATTGGGGAGCGCTCGATAAAGCCGAAGCTTACATGGTTTTCTGGTACTAGAAGGAGCATCACGAAGAGGGACAGCATAGCAATGCCAAGCTTCCTTGCCATGTTCTTCCTGGTTGTGAGAGAGAGAGAGAGAGAGAGAGGTCTTTGTGATTGTGGAATGACCTGGTTGGGATTTGAGAGTGTTAGAGCTTTTTTTTTATAGGAACAGCTTGGGAGATACTGTCCTTATTCAGAATGTGAAGTGTGTCCTTTTTGCATGAATCGAAGATGATGACGCAATGTCAATAGTGTTTTATTTAATAGCAAGAAGTTGATGATTTGTTGATGCCGGCTCTTGTCCTCTCTCTCTCTCTCCCAAAAAGAACAAACAGGCCAAGTTGCGAGGAAAGTGAAGGTGGAGCCAACTTAAATCGTGTGAATTCGCCCTCAATGATCCCCCACCCTTTGGCTTTCTTTTTGGGCATACAAGTGAATGACATGACAAAGGACTAATTAAGAGATTGGAACACTTCTTTCAACATGAGCTTGATCAAGAAAATCTTCTCTCTTGATGTTTGCATGGTCAATTTTATAAGCTTATACTCAGCTTCTTTGCTTAGCGCACTGGAATTATGATTCGGGAAAACTTAGCTTAAGTATTCGAGTTCGATCTCGTGAAGATTGAGTATCTATGACCCCTTAGTAAGCCCATTATTATGCTATGCATGTATTTACCCAGATGAGGGTTAGACGAAATTCATTAGAATCAATGACACGCCAAGATTTGATTCTTTTCAAGTTAGGGGAGGCCAAGTTTTGTCAAGTTCCTTTAACCATAGAGAGGCTAGAGTTGGTCCCTTCCCAAGGCTTCCCCATGATCAATCGATTCTCACCCATGTGAAATAGGGTCGATTGCAAACAAAAGGTGGGCCCTCATAATCACATGTGAGCATTCACATGTATCTCTTTCATGCTGTTATGTTAACATGGGTCCGCTAATAAAAAAAAATCATGTAATGTAACGCTTATATCACGTGACATATTGATATGATATCGTTAATTAAATAAGAGATTCGATTATTTGGCATTGAAAGAAAATAATGCATATTTTATAAAATGAGACGTTGTATATAAGCATATCACGGGAATTCTACGTCACACGACAGATATACCTTGTCTTGCATTCAAGCCCAACAGATAACTACCACATCCCAACGTCAGAATGTGAAATGAGTTAGAACCAACTGGACACTCACCTGTCAAAAAGTATGCCCTCCCTCTCTCTCTCTCTCTGTGTCGACATGCAGAAGGTGGCAATCTGTGGCCATGTACTATTTTAGCACTTGTGGAGCTTTCTGTGTTGCCTGGATAATTCAACTCCCGTGACCCTCTGTTGCTTCATACAAATTTCTATTTTGTACTTCTTCTTGACTCCATCTTTCGTTTGTCAGTCTTGGAAGTCTGTGCGCGTGCGTGAGAGAGAGAGAGAGAGAGTTGGTCTCATGAGCATTGCTGGGGAAAGATTTCTGAGCATGCGAGCATTGCTCGGTTTACTGACTCTAATTCACGGATTTACAAACGGCCCCCGACTTCGAGAGCCCCAGGGTCGGGGCATCATAGACACACCGGAACACTCTTCCGCGTTTTCATGCTAAATGGCAATCGCGTTACGATGAGCTTGCGCTCTTTTTGAAAGGGTCGGGATCCTCATTTGCGACCCTCGCTTGTGATCGTTTCAGTCTCAACCTGCGTTACAATCACCTCAATCGCAGCCAAGGCGACGCTCTCCCTGGCCTCTCAGTAATGCCACACGAATACCACGTTACTAATGGCTGCTAATGGAAGGATTGATTGCATAAAAAGAAACTTCCGAGGAACAAATTGCACAAATACCAAAACTTAGAGGGCCATTCATATATTCCAATATTAATTAGGGCGACCTAGGACTAGGGTGTAGAAGTAGTAAATTCCAGTGAACTACCCATGCCAAAATCAAGAAATATGCATTCTGTCTTGGTCTAGCCACACCATTGTAGTATAAAACCACCTGAAGCGACAAGACCAAAAGTTAAACTACAAAAGTTAAAATCAAGAAATATGCATTCTGTCTTAGTCAAGAAATATTTCTTGATTTTAACTAAGACCAAAATGGCAAGCTAAACCTACAAAAGTTGCCTAGCCAGGAGCCAGCCCAAAAGGAGTATGAGGCTGCTGAAGTACTCGCGGACTTCAAGCGATCAATAAGCAAGCAGTAAGTTGCTCTCAGCAATATGGGGAAAAATATGGGCCGTCAATGAGGTCAGCTAGAATTAAAAAAACCTAAGGCTAAAAACATCTTTGGTCTCCCAAGTGTGAAAGAATTGATTTATGGCAGAGTTGCCAGTACTCTTTAACCGGTATATGCATCCATGGGAGAGTTGATGGAAGATGAGAAATCAGGCCATATGAAATCCTGAGAGAGAGAGTGAGAGAAAGAGAGAGAGATCGCATCATATTTCACCAATAACAGCATTAATCAAGTCGACAGAGGACAAAATTCTACCGACTTTTTTCCAGTGAGAACTCCATACGCAGACTCTGCAACAAGTGATGCGGAGACACCAGTAAAGACTTTCTTGTAATGAGGTAAGATTATCTGTCCTGCAACAAAGTATCCCATAGGTATTGATTTATAGTTACTACTGATACATTGAAGATATGGATGTTCAAGGATCTGAGAATCTTACCAATGCTTGGAACACTGACGTGTAGAAATGAAACCAGGGCAGTAGACCTTTTGTATTTCTCTGTTTTCCTGAGTGCATTCTCAAAATCTGGATGTATGCCATTGCCACCGCAAATAGATCTTTCCATGGGATGTACGCCGTTATATTTACAGGAAGCAATTTCAAACCATATACCAGCAGGAAATCTGGTTGGTCTCACCAACCAAAGGAGAACTTTGACATAAGGTGTCTCATGAATAATAGATATTAAAACTTCAATTAGCACACGAGTAACTCTGATAGATGTATTCACAATGGTGAAGAATATATAAAAGACACAGGTGGTTGGCAACAGAAGTAGAAGGGGAGTAAACAGAAGTGATCCAACAACGTGTTGCTCGACAGTGTAATCGTAGCTATCTAATCTCATGCGAAGAGGATTCAACTTTTGACCCCTGCAGAAAATTCAGAGACTCCATCAATAATTTAAGACGATAATAGAAAAGTAATGATTAACATCACACAATTCACATGAAAGAATTATTTTAGTTTGTCCAAAATACTCAAGAAGGCACCAAATAGTTCATAAGATCCCCACTAAAACTGAAAATAGAAATTAAGACCTAGCTCACAAGATGGACCACACCAGTTTATACCATAACTACATTCATACCCTTCCTCACTGTTTGAAAAAGGTTATCTTCCTGTTGAGAAATTAGCACCTCATGAGGTTAAATAAATGGCTGGTACACATTTTCATGAAAATATTGTCAAAAAAGTCTATGAAACTTATTTAGATATAAAATTTGGAAAAATAATTTCAACAAGTTGCTTTAAGCAGCAAAACATCCGCATCAAGTAAGTATCATGATTTGTAGAAGGAGCTGCAGCCAGCAGGATCATGAGTATTAGTAAGCGGTTCCAGGATTCAATCCAGTGGATATAGGACTAGGTAACTCTCATGCAAGATCATCTTATAGGTTCTTCACCATAAGCTCACCCTCCCTCAACACTTCGTCATGAATTAAAAGAGATGTCATTTCAAGCACTAATTAGTTCACCATTAGATTGAGATTATATGTTGCATTAGGGAACAAAACATCCATCATTTATAAGCCAAATAGGCAAAGGACAACCTTTATGTATATGAAAGTCCCAAATACTTGACTATGACACAGACAATGTTATGTATATTGCAGAAAATTGGAGAAGAAAAAAATGGAGGCAACAAAGAACTTGATTGGCAGAGAACCATCCCGACTTCAGAAAGAGAAAAGCAATGCAGTAGAGTTAGTTGTTTCTCCAGACAGTAGAATCAATCAGCATCATCCAGTAACTGTGTTTAGTATAAATGAAGATGATATATTGTAGAATGTTGGATGTATCAAAGTGCAGAGCAACACAGCTACAGGCTAAAACTTGACTTATCCTAATGGGCCAATAAAGTATAGCAGGAGCGTAACAGCCACTCACCACTCGATCGACAGCTCAAGCAAAATTAACCCAAAAAATGAAATGTCAACTACGCACACTGTCTAGTTAACATAAAAGCTGCTGATGCATGTTGCAGTAAATTTTCCTATTACACCGAAACGCTGTATTTACACCAAAGAAGAAACTAGAAAGCATTACCTAAACAGGCGCCATAAAGCAGCCAGTGCCTGTGTCTGTGAAGCATGAAGACAAGCTATCAATGAATGTAGAGCTGATATGTGTAAAGTTGCCGCCCCGATCATGTCTACCATCAGTGCGGCAATAACAGTAGCCCCAAAAAGCATCCCTACTATAGCGATTCCTCTGACTATGTTCATCAGAAAGAAGCCCACAAAAACCCAAAGGGTAGACCAAATTTGTATGACATTAAGAGACGTAGCGCCAAGGATGGCTGCTAATTCTGTATTCAATTTAAATCCTGCAGGGACTCCCATTAACCACACAGATCCCATGCGCAGATAATTATTTAGGCCCTCCACAGAATTCAGAAACCACAAGCTAACCAGTTCCGCATGATATAGTAAGGACAACCCAATTAAGTTTCCGAGGAGCACATCAATGGCTATATTTGACCAAATGGAATGCTTCCGCAATGCAGCTTTCTCAGCGAACTCTACACTGGATTGAGACCTATTAGAGGAGGATTGTGATTAAGGTGAGAAAAAAGCCCAAGTCCTAAAAAGTAATATCTAATGATTCCAAAGTCAACAATATCACAAGGGAGACAATAGCATAAGCTCACAAAGGAGACAATATCATAAACACACTCCATCTAGAGTAGGCATAGGCATAGGCATTATCTATCTGAACCACATCCCACCCTCCCACCACCCCAAAAAGAGGAAGAGGGAAAAGAACCACAAAGAAAGAAAGAAAAGGAAGAATTGCTGGCACAAGACCTTCTAAATTATTATCAACTAAAAAGTTCAAAGCAATTTGCTCAACAAGATGAGGCCTGAGAGGCTCAGGCTCACTGTTCACTACTGCATGACAACTGACCGATCCACAGTTGTCCCTAAGATCTTCTATAAATGAGTCAAAATGGAACAGAATTCTCCCTGAAGCGAGGCTTTCAGTAAAAGCATCGAGATCAT